GTCTACAATAAACTTCTAGCAATTTATCAATTACAATTTAAAATTTCCTACATTTTCTGGCTCCAGTGGTATTTTGTGCTCTTAATAAGTTGTGGTTCTTGGTATTTGCCTGTCTTTCCAGTTTGGGGAATGCACTTTGCTCTGTGCCTAGTTTTCTAAGGGATAAGAAACATTGTTGACTTACAACTTGTTTGGCTTTTTCTCACTGCAAGAAAGGGAGCGATGACCTCTAAACTCTTTACATATTAGAACAGAACCCAGAAGCTCAAATTGTCAATTTTCTAATTTAATTGAAGTATGGAAAAGTCCCAGTAATGCCTCTTCTGCAGAGAAGTCATGAAGATCAATGTAAATTATGAGTCAGAGGCTCAGAGAGGTTAAGTTATTATGTCTGAGGGCCCACAGCCATGAAATGGTGAGGCTAGGACCTGAAGTCAGCAGTCTGACTCTAGAGCTTAACCTGTTTCCTACCTTAAAATATGCCTAGATGTGCACAGCATTAGCTATTATTTAAAATGTATCATAGTGATATAGGTAAATGAAGTAATTAAGCACAAACTCATGTGGAAGTTTAGTGCAGCCATTCTGTAAATTACAGACTAGGAAAAGAGTTGGAAGATTTCTTAGCTTTAAAATACTAAGTTTTTACAAAGTTAACTGTCTTTTCAAAATAGTATTTACTTGCCTTTGTTTTATTTTTATTTTATATTACATTTTAAATTTATTTTTAAAATTATTTTATTGTTGTTCAAGTGCAGTTGTCTGCATTTACCCTCCACCACTCCCCCCAACCCCAGCCATCCCCAAGTCCCTTCCCTGATGCCACCTTGCCTTTGGTTTTGTCCATGTGATCCTCAAAATTCCTTCCCCCCTTTCCTCCCATTATTTCCTCCCATCTTTCCTCCCATTATTTCCTCCCATCTTTCCTCTGGTTATCATCATATTTTTCTTAATTTCAATGTCTCTCATTGCTTGTTTGCTTGTTTGTTGATTAGGTTCCACTTAAAGGTGAGATCATATGGTGTCTTTTACTGCCTAGTTTACTTCACTTCACAGAATGTTGTCCAGTTCCATCCATGCTGTCACAAAGGGTAGGAGCTCCTTCTTTCTTTCTGCTGCGTAGTATTCCATTGTGTAAACGTACCATAATTTTTGATCCATTAATTTACTGATGGGCACTTAGGTTGATTTTAGCACTTGGCTGTCATGGATTGTGCTGCTATGAACATTGGGGAGCACAGGTACCTTTGGATTGGTGTTTCAGAGTTCTTGGGATGTAATCTCAGCTGTGGAGTTGCTGGGTCAAAAGGCAGTTCCTTTTTTAGTTTTCTGAGGAAATTCCATAGTTTTCCACAGTGGCTGCACCAGTCTGCAATCCCACCAACAGTGTCTTCATTTTTTTATTGTTATTATTTTTGTTTTTATCACTGTTCATTTCTTCTGTAAGCTTGAGGAGTTTGTTACAAACCCTTTAATTTATTTTAGGGGCAATATTTTTACATCTGAGGGAACCTCAAACTGTCTTTGACATTGAGTATAATATATTTTATGTGTTTATGTTCAGATGTGCATTGATACACATTTAAAACCTGACTACTTGGAACAAATGGACCTGCTAAAATGATTACATTGGTTCTGAGAGCAAAGTAATTGTACTTCAGAAGAAAAGAGCTGCTGTGGCTGTGCTTTTCTGTATCTGAGCTTTTTTCTGGTGACACTGTCATCATTTAGCACTAAGTGCCTGAAACACCCTGACATCACAGGAGCAACTGCACCCTTGTTGCACTCAGGGGGATGGTGAATCTGTTTTAATGATGGTGGACATGAATTGCAGGCAAAACTTCCATTTTAATTCCTGAGACAGATGGCTTATTAGTGGAGCAGTCACGCATACCTGTGACATACATTGTTAATAGGAAATAGCATGGTATCTTGACATAATAGCTGATTCAGCATGAGAATCATACAATTAAGTCAATATTTTAATGTTTATTTATTTTTTAATCCTCAACCAAGGATATTTTATTATTGATTTTAGGTAAAGAAGAAGTGGGGGTGGAGAGAGAGAGAGAAAAACATTGATGTGCAAAACATCAATCAGTTGTCTCCCTTACCCACTTTGACTGGGGATCGAACGTGTAACCTGGGTATATGCCTTGACTGTGAACTGAACCCAAAACCATGCCGTGCATGGGATGATGCTCCAACTAAATGAATAAAGTAAATATTCACACAGTGAAGTAAATATTTTTAAAGATTTTTACATGATTCTATGTATGTTAACATATCATTCTAAAAACAAGTTGAATTACACCTCAGTGGAATTCTTTAACTATCAACCTAAGTATGAAAGAAACATACACATTTCCTCCCAACGCTTAAGGAAAAATTTTTTTTACTAAGGATTCTGTTCTTTCTAAGCTGATGGGAGTCACAGGAACACTATAATGAAAACCGTGTGGAGAAATGTTATAAAAATAACAAGTAGAACAAATTTTAACTCTCTAAACTTTGTTTTTGTTTTCTTTTGTAAAATGAAACTAATAACCACTTGCAGAATTAGAGGAACAATTAGAAGTGACATGTATGTAATAAATGAATCACATGGTATGTATTACATGGTAGCCCATGAAAATGGATGTGGTGATTAAGGGGGCTTTTCCAGTTCCATAAAAGTGCACCTGCCTGGCTCCATGATTCAGTGGTTAACAATTTATACTTAGGAGTTAGAGAAGATAAGAATTAAATGTAAATCTGCAATAATTAGCCACATGATTTCAGAATGCCTTATCTACCTCTGAATCTATTTGTTGATAATCCTTTTATTTTTCATTTATTTCTTATTTAATTTTCACCTGTATCTCCCCTACTGGCTTCAGGCATGATTTATCTGACATATTCTGAAAATTAAAATACTTCAACTGAATACTCTTTCTGATCTCTTTTTCCACTTGAAATTTTGGCACCTCCACCTACCTAGTTATTCTTCTCCTAGCATTGAAAAGAAGAAATTGAGAAATTGCCTTCTTTCTTATCCTACTACATGGAATCCACCATCAAATCCTGTCTATCGTGCCTCCAAACTACATCTTTCGCTAGTCTCCTCACCATGAGACTCAAGGCACCACCATCTCTCACTTGGATTGTTTTTTAACTGCTTCTTCTAATTCATTTATCCACCAGCACAGAGATGATCTGTTAAAGTGAGTATACATTTGCCATGTCAAGCCTGGGCTTAAATGCCACCAGTGGTTTTCCTGTAAACAGAAAAACAATTCAAAAACTATTTCCAAGGACGCCGAGTTACCCGATTCCAAATGGAGCATTTGTCTCGTTTGCCTGATTCAGCCTCACTGGCTTCCTTTCAATTTCTAAATCTGTCAAGCTCTTTTCTCACTCAGGTCTATTTCTTCCACTAATCAAGTATCCTTTGATCTCAAGTTAATGGGACTTTATTAGAGATTCTTCTCCTTCTCTGAATCAGAATCAGGACCCAGTTCCCCTCATTGTGCATTTAGAGGGTGCCTCGATTCCACACTATTTGCTGCTGTGACCGCAACACATAGTCTGGTTCATAGCAGCTACTTTTTAAAAAATGATGTACAAGTGGGTGAACTTAAGAAAGATAATATTTAACGGCCTTGGACTTTGGTGTAAAATAGAGCATATAATAACTGCCTGATAAAAGAGTTTAAGAATTAGCCCTGGCTGGTGTAGCTCAGTAGATTGAGTGTGGGCCTAGGAACCACACGATCGCAGTTCGATTCCCAGTCAGGGCACATGCCTGGGCTGCAGGCCAGTTCCCAGCAGGGGACTCACGAGAGGCAACCACACATTGATATTTCTCTCCCTCTCTCCTTCCCTTCCTTTCTAAAGATAAATAAATAAAATCTTTTAAAAAAAGAGTTTAAGAATTAAATAGGTAACATATACAAAGTTATCCAAAAAGAATCTAGCATATACTTCCTCTTACACTTAGAACTCTTGTCTACATTTTATAAAGGAACCTATTAAGTTCCAAAAAAGACTGGGGAAAATGGTTGAAATACTATGTGAAACTGGTAAGTTCAAATGCCTTTTTATTATCTGTTGGGAAATCATTCAAGAGTTATAAAATATACTTATATTAATAAGCCTAAAATATGAGACATATTAAATATAATAATGTATACCGTATTATATAAATAATATAAATATATTAAAACAAATATATGAATTTATAACTTCTTATGTAATAAATGAAATTCTTTTATTGGATATATTAATTCTTATAATATGATAGTTTCATAATACCATACATCTGATCCTTGTTTCTTAAGACTGCTTTCTGATTCAGCCTTTTCCTTAAATAATAGTTCATTAAAGTGAATATCAATGTTAGGAATTTAATTTGATGATGGAAAATAACCCATTTGATTTATATTTTTAATATCTCCACTTTAAAACTGTTAGGTAGGATGGTCAGTTAACAAATCAGGGAGGAAGAAGATGTGTCTCACCCGTTGACTCAGCAGTCCTGAGCCCCATCCAGTAAAAGTTCCAGGAGCTCCAACTTCACAAGCAAAGAGACTGCAGGAGAAGGGGAGTGCTTCAGACTCTGCTGGGCAAGGGAGCCTCTGTGGCAATTTCACTACTAAGACAAAGAACCTTTACTAGCGGAGAAAGCAAGCATTTGTAGCTAATGAAAGCATGTGTGGTACATTATTCCTAAGATTTAGAAGGAGGGGGAGAGGGAGAACCTAGAAGCTGACTGACGCATACAACCCCTGAACCCCAATAGCGCACTCAGATTAGCTGAGTGCCCACTTGTAGCCTCGGCTCAAATGTATAGAACAAATTCACTACCAACTTCATTCGCTCTATACATGGGCCATTTAAACTAGCTGGGTTCTTGTCTGTAGTTTTGTACTTGTGTGTGTTTTATAAATAAACTTGCTATCTTGTTTCCACTTTACATGTTGTCTCTCACTTGAATGTGTATCTTGTGAGTGAGGCAAAAACGGAGGAGGGGAACAGTGCTGACTCGGGTCTCTCCCCAGTAGCGTATTTTGGCTCTCTGACTCAGATCATGACTCAGATCCCATGCTTTGTTTTCAGTGGCACAGAAAGCAGTACGTAAATGGTTTCACCGTCAATGTTTTATTGCCTGTTTCACCTTCAGAGCTAAAGGAGATCAGCAGTGCTGTGGAGGAGGGGTGTTCAGATATGCTGGGTCTGTGTTCGGAGGCAGAAACAAAGAAAGGTAAGACAAAATGATTGTTTCGGTTTGTCTGGGCTCCAAAGACTAAAGAGGCACATCTTCCCTCTGGCCCAAGTTCCCCAGCATTCCTAGGTGAGTGGGGGCCTCGCAAAGGTGCCTGGAGTTAATCCCTAAGACCTGCAGGGTCCTCACAGGGAACTCCCATTGCTGTAATGTAACTGTGGCTCATCTGGGGACAGACAAAACTCGGGTTGGTCACCCAGCACTCCAAGCCCACTGGCTGTTTTAGATGACCAGGGGAGAAACCCAGACATGTCAGAGAGCTGAGGATGACCACAGGTGTAATGGCCTTTGAGAGCATCTCTCAGAAAACAATACATTTTGACCCACTACTCAAAATACCTAGTCTTTTCTCTCACTAAACCATGGCCAGGGAACTCCAAGTTTGGATCATTGACATATTGCAAGCCTGCTGCACCTCTCCCCTGAGGAGCTGTATTCGCCTGGTGAATGTCTTGCTCTCTCTCCCTCTTTAGAAAAAGCTGGGGCCCTTCTGGGACATAAACCTTTCCTTTCCTCTTAAATTTTAAGGGACCTTAGGAGGCTTGCAGCCAGGGGAGTGGCGGGCGGCGGAAGCTTGACCTGGGCTAACCACCTGATCCTGTCTCAAAGGCCCCCTTTTCTTGACTTCCAGGTGAACCCCGCCTTGAGTCACTCCTTTTCTAAGGAGCCAAAGCAGCCCACCCAGGCTCTCTCCTGTTACTTCCTCCACCCAGAGTCTTCCCTTTGTTTCACTGTCCCCAGAAGCAATAACTCTCCCTCCCTCAATGTACAAGAGAAAACTGGTACTTTTAAAACTGCAGCAGCTGAAGTCACCCAAGCCTGATATCCTCCCTTCTTCTCCAGCTCCCTTGCAGACATCAAGGTCACTGGCTAATAAAACAACTCACTTTTGAGCACTGTTTATATCTTACAATAGGGAAAAATAACTGTTTTATTTCTGAATGAATTAAAAAGAAACAAAGAGGGACTGTGTATATCTCAGAAAGTCTATACAAATTGTAGAGGGTTTATAAAAAGAAAAATCTTGAGAAGAAATTATATAAATAAGCTAATATGAAATTTGGTTGGTTCTTTTCAGTATGATGAATGGGGAAAGTTTTTCCTGTACCTACCTGAAGAGCAAAGAATTAATTAATCAAATGCTTGGTTTTCAAAGAAAGTTCATCTCTCAATACTGAGAATGGATATTTGTAGGCCTGTGTGGATATAGCATACGAGTCCTTAGGGCAAGAGTGTTTGGCAAGCTTTCAAGGTTTAAATTTTAACACCTAAAGAGGCTTCAAAGTATTTCAGAGGGGCCCTTAAATATCTCAAGGATTCACCCTTTCTTCTTATAAAAATAAAATTTGGACTAATCAGGCTTACTTAATAGTCTTAAAATACATAGAATGCTTTGTCACATAAAGAAATTACATAAAAATCTCTCCGAAAGACTACGAAGTTCTAATACCCTTTCATTTATAATTCCGATGGTTATTTTAGAATGTTGTGTCGTGCAGAAAGGAACTAGGGAAGTTGCAGAAGGGTTGCACATGTTGCAGAGGTTCTGTGCAAGCTGGGAAAGGATGTGTGGGGAGAAGGAGCCAAATGAGAGGAAACTGAGGAAGTGAAAAGGGAGAGAAAGAACGCAAGAAAGCGACATACAGGAAGAAAGGACATGCGAGTAGGAAACTCAGGGAGGGAAATGGGAGTGAAGAAATCTAGGAATAAGGTAGAAAAGGCAAATAGAAATGTGGCAAAGTAATAATTTTAGTAACGAATAAGAAGGACAAACACTCCCTTTGATTTTCTAAAAGCAACTGTTATTTCCCAGCAGAATCATTAGGTACAATTAAACAGTGGGAAACAAATTGATTAATCAAAAATATTGTTACAGAAACAAATTCCTTTGTCAATTGCAATGTAATCACTGATTTGTGACCTGAACTGGAGTAATTTACAGATTGTTCTCTCCCACTGCAGATTTTAAAAAGTTAAAATTAAGACCCTGGCCACTGTAGCTCAGTGGATTGAGCACAGTCCTGAGAACCAAAGGATCACGGTTCGATTCCCAGTCAGGGTACATGCCTGGGTTGCAGGCCAGTTCCCAGCAGGGGACGCATGAGAGGCAACCATACATTGATATTTCTCTCCCTAACCCTTCCCCTCTAAAGATAAATAAATAAAATTTAAGAAAAAAGATATTGAAAAATGGTTAAAAAAGCACAAATATAATTGGCCAGGGTTTATACTGATAAATTAACTGGCCATCATACTCAACAGTGCATATATCAACCAGGGGTAAACACAATCCCAGATCAGGCCCCTAAATAGATCAGTCCAATTAGCACTGATGAAGGGCAAGAGGAGATAAAAATCCTGTCTGTTTCCAGGGACAATTAACCAGAACTTTACAAAAGTGCACTAACATCAACCCTAAGTCTGTGGAGGGCTGAGCATTGAGGTGGATACATTTTATCCAGCAGGCAACCCCAGGCATCAGGTACGAAAGCTAGCCTTAGGACCCCAGGCCCTCACTAAGCAACTGGTTGAAATACCTTTCAGTGTTTTTACAGTCAAAGCAGGGCAGCCAGAAAGCAGAAAGCCACCACCCAATGGCAATGCCAGGCTCACTTGTCAGGTGTAGTTCTAAGCTCTGTGCCATCTCTGGGATAACAAGTGCTCAGACTAAAACCTACATCAGAGGAACAGAGCTATTCCTGCAGACAAGGAGAGATATCCTAAGACTGGTGCCACACCCTAGACCACTAGCATTTCCTTATATTCCAAACCTCACCCTCTCACCTGCCCCTCAGCTGAGCCCTCAGGTACTCAAAAGTGACCATTAAACTATGGAGATCCCACTGATCAGTGAACTCCTTCTCATTGGCTGAAGAAAGTTAGGGGCAAATGTGTTCATCCCTTGGAAGGACCCATCCATAGTGGAAGCGTCCCTTCTGGGTACACTGAGTCTTAGGTCCTGGGACACCAATCTCTCAGGCTATACCCCAGGATGCTGGGATGTCTAGCCTTCTGGGGTTCCCTCCTTCCAGATGGGGACTGAACTTGTTCTATATCCATCCATAACAGAGATGTCTACTCTGGATGTGTGTGGTCTTGGGTTCTGGAAGGATGAGCTTCTCGGATCACACTCTGGGACACTGGGCTCTTTAACCTCTTGGTGTTTCTTCCTTCCAAATGGGAAATCAGGAGTCCATTCCAGGTGGGCCCCCACTGGGCTGTATCCTTTCCAACTGGTCACAGTTTAACCCCCTAACACTAAAGAAGAAAGACTGGTGTTCCTTTGCAACACTGCTTGGCCTCAGTATTAGTTAGCTGACAGGGAATCCTGACCACTGTATTTGTATGGAATCTTAAATCACAGTACAAAATCCCAGCTTGATGACTTTTGCAAATGCCTGCAAGAGCAGTCAGAAATCCCATTTGTGCAGACATTCTCTACTGGTCAGAGGGCATCTGTGCTCCAGATGTGAGCCAACTCTTACCACAGTGCCATCTAGTGGCCATAGATGCCCTCTGGTGCCCACACCCCACCTTCAGGAAAAACCCTTTTAAAAGAGGTGCCTTCAACATCTTCATCATTACTGTCATATGCTGGACCTCCAACTCAATTAGCAAGCTTCGCAACTTCTAGCCCTAGGCCATCTCCACCAACTAAGCATATACCATTGATCGAGGCTGCAGGAGAGTGTGGCCTTTAACTAGCACATAAGCCCTTCTCTTTGGTAGAACTTAAACAAATGAAGGCAAACTTGGGAAGCTACTCCAACAATCCAGATAAATACATAGATGCATTCCAACACCTTACCTTAGCCCTACAAGTTAACCTGGAAGGACACTATCATTACCTTGGGAATATCTTATCAGATCTTAAGCAGGAAAAGGTAATAAAAAAGCCAGGAATTTTGCTAACTTACACCTGACAGTAAAAACCCACTGGGAGAGTCAGCAGTTCCACTGGCACCCCCCAAATGGTACTACAGCAACTCCTCCAAAAAGGGAAAGAAATCACTTTCTAATTTGCATTAAATTGGGTCTCAAGGCCAGCGGACAAAAGGCCATTAAACTATTCCAAGATCTCCTCTGTCAACCAATGCCTGGATGAGAATGCCACCACATTTTTAGAAGGGCTAAGTGAGGCACTAATTAAGCACACCAACCTAGATTTCAAATCCTATGAAGGCCAGGTCAATGAAAGATAAGTGTCTAACTCAGTCTGCCTCTAAAATTAAAAGAAAACTCCAGAAGCCTTTTCAGGAACCTGGAGTTTCCTTAAATAAGATATTAACCCCAGCCAATACAGTCTTCTACAATGGAGAATAAGAGAGATGCCAGAGAGGAGGTTGGGCCCGCATGTTCTAGCTGCCCTTGTGGGACAGCCACATACCACTAGTCCTTCCAGGTCCACTACCAAGGACACCAAGTGTCATATATATCAATAGCTGTGGCACTGGGACAAGGGATGCCTAAATCATGCAAGCCACCTCAGGCACCACTTTATAAGTGCAAGACGGCCGGCCACAGGGTGGCACTTTGTTCCTCAGGCCAAAGGACCCCTGAGCCTGAGGCCACAACTGCCTTGAAAATAGCAACTCAGGACAGAAGCTGCCTGCCCTGGTTGGTACCAGCTGAAAAGGGCACCATTACGGGGGGACTAGAGACTAGGGTATGCAAGGATGTGACAGGTAGGGCAGTAACTTTCTTACTAGATACTGGGGCCACCTACTCTGTTCTTACTTCCTTCTCTGGGTCCCTCTCCTCACAATCCTGCACCATCCTAGGAGTAGCAGGAAAGCCTACAACCAGAAATTTCACTCCTCCTTTGGGTTGCCTCTATGATGGGTATTACTTTACACACTCTTTTCTCTTAGTCCTGGAATGTCTGACCCCTCTACTCAGGACCCTCCAAAACAGCAGGACAATATTAGGTACTCCTATCAGCCAGCAGAGGACCTCAAATTCCTCTTTGAGAAACAAAATTCTGTTGCAGATAAGTAACACAGCAACTAGGCTTTAATGTAATTGTCTTTCTCGTATTTCAGACAATCTTTCTACCACCCTGTCAGTATGCTCAGCCTCCTCACTCAGAAGAGGTATCTTTCCATCCCTATTAAATTGAACACTTATCGGATAAAGTTCCAAGTCCTCCACTCCACTCACCTTGTTGTCAAATTTGTTGCCCCAGAAAACAACAATTACTGTCAACCCCCGGCAACCCAGGCTCCGGACATCTATCATGAACCAATGGACAGGCACTTCCCTCCACCTCCTCAGACTAATAGTTAGCATATGGATGGAAACCAAAGAAATACCAATGTCCCTTTTATAATAGGAATTAGCCAGAGCAGTCATTGCCCAAAGTCCTCAAAGATTGGGCTCCGCATGCTTGAGGGGAATAGTAACCAGCATAGTTGGTGAACTAAAGCAGGAAGGAGGAGGGAGACATGTCTTACCCATCGATTCACCAGTCCTGAGCCTGGTTCAATAAAATCACTGGGTGCTCCAAACATCATGAACAAAGATGGTGGGGGAGAAGGGGAGTCCTTGAGACTCTGCGCTATCAAAGGGAGCCTCTGTAGCAATTCTATTAACTAAGACTAAGAGCCCTTACTAGCAGAGAAAGAAAGCATTTGTAGCTGTATGTTATTTCTAAGATTTAGGAAGGAGAAGGGGAGAGAACCTAGAAGCTGACTAAAGCACATAACCCCCGAACCCCAATAGTCAGCACACTCAGATTGGCTGATTGCCGACTTATAGCCTTGGCTCAAGTGTATCGACTTGGTAACAAATCTACTAACATTATTTCCTCTACAAGTGAGGCATTCAGACTGCCCAGGTGCCTGCCTGTAGTTTTGTGCCCATGTATGTTTCATAAATAAACTTGCTATCTCATTTCCACTTTATGTATTGTTTCTCGCTTGAATTCATTTCTTGCAACTGAGGCAAAAACTAAGGGGGTTGCTGACTCAGGTTTTTCCCCAGTAACAAAACTAAAAAAGAGTATTATGAAATTATAGTTGTAAATATGATTTAAAGTAAAATTCGGTTTTTGAAGTCAGATAGATAGATGATCATTATGACATATTCTTACGTTAGCCAGACATGTAAATCCTAATATCTGTGTTTGAGTGTGTACACATAGGCATATATATATATATATATATATATATATATATATATATATATATATATTACTCCCTGTGTAGTTAGGAACTGCCTTTCATATTTTTTTCATATTAAATGTTATTTTCTCTCGACTTCTGCCAAGATGGAGGCATAGGTGGAGGCGCCGTGCTTCCTCACACAACCAAGTTTAGAGACAACTAAATGATAGCAACAGAAAACAGCCAGAACACAGAAAATTGAACTTTTTGGAAGTCTGATAACAACAAATTCTTCAGCCTGACCTGTAAGGGGCGAAACCAGCAGCTGGCAGAGCGGGGTAGCACAGGAGGACTCGGTCAGACGGACTCAGGCGCGGAATCCAGGCACAGGGTTGGACCTGGTGGGCAACTCAGCGAGCAATTGCGGGGAAACAGCGAGGGAGCAGGGCTGCGGGTTGACTGTCGTCGCGGGTTGACTGTGGTCACGAGTTCGCGCATTTGTGTGTAGATAGACGACGGAGTGGGCAATTGGACGAGAGCCAGCAGCCCCAGCGGCAAGCGGAGGTGGAGGGCGTCGCCATTTCCCGGCTCTAACCCCGCCTCTACATACAGCGTCATAATCCAGCGACCTAAGTGGCCCTGTCCCGGTGAACAACCTAAGGATCTGCTCCTCACCCAGCTGGCGAAACAGCAGAGGGGGCCGCCATTTCCCCGCTCTGACCCCGCCTCCACATACTGCGTCACAACCCAGCGACCTGGGAGTCCAAGGCTCTGCTCCTCATACTTAACAGGCACAAACAGACCAAAAATGGCTCAAGAAGATCTCAAAGCCCCAGAGCCTATAAATCTAAGCAATGAAGAAATAGCAAAACTCTCAGACGCACAGTTTAAAATACTGGTCATCAGGATCCTCACAGAACTGGTTGATTATAGCCACAAATTAGACAAACATATGAAGGCGAAACTAATTGAAATGAATGGAATTGCACAGGAAACCAATAGCGATGAAAAGGAAACTGGGACTCAAATCAATGGAGTGGACCAGAAGAAAGCAAATAATGGCCAAACAGAAAAGAGTGAAGAAGCAAGAATTCAAAAAAATGAGGAAAGGCTTAGGAACCTCCAGGACATCTCTAAACGCTCCAACATCCAAATTATAGGGGTACCAGAAGGGGGAAAGGAACAGCCACCAGTGGAAAGCTTATTTGAACAAATAATAAAGGAGAATTTCCCCAATCTGTCAAAGGAAATAGACTTCCAGGAAATCCAGGAAGCTCAGAGAGTCCCAAAGAAGTTGGACCCAAGAAGGAACACACCAAGGCACATCATAATTACATTAGCCAAGATTAAAATGAAGGAGAGAATCCTAGAAGCGGCAAGAGCTAAGGGGACAATCACCTACAAAGGAGTTCCCATCAGACTGTCAGCAGATTTCTCAAAAGAGACCTTACAGGCAAGAAGGGGCTGGAAAGAAGTATTCCAAGTCATGAAATCCAAAGACCTACAACCAAGATTGCTCTATCCAGCAAAACTTTCATGTTTAGAATGAAACATGGAAGGACAGATAAAGTGCTTCTCAGATAAGATCAAATTCAAGGAGTTCATCATCACCAAGCCCTTATTATATGAAATGTTAAAGGGACTTATCTAAGAAAAAGAAGTTAAAAAAACATGAACAGTGAAAGGACAACAAACTCACAGTTATTAACAACCACACCTAAAACAAAAGCAAACTAAAAGGACAGCTAGATCAGGAGTGGAAACATAGAAATGAAGATCTCAAGGAGGGTTAGCAACAGGGGAGTGGGAGGAGGAGAAGGGGGGAGAAGGTACAGAAAATAAGTAGCATAGACAGTAGATAGAAAATAGATGGGGGGGGCAGAATAGTATGGGAAATATAGAATCTAAAGAACTTGAGACACGTGGTCATAAACTAAAGGGGGGTAATGTTGGGGATGGGGAGGTAAGGTGGAGGGGAATGAAGGGGGGAATAGAACGACTGTAACAGCATAATCAATAAAAAAATAAAAATAAATAAAACAGGAAAAAAATATTCTTTTCTTTTCTTTTTTCACTGTTGGCATTTTAATAATGTTCCTTTAGAAAAAGGAAAAATAACAGTTCTCTTCAGAATATTAAAATTTTAAAAATATTTCTCATTTCATTATTTCTGATTTTGCTTTCTCCTTGGATTTTCTAATAATATTCCTGCAGCATCATCCTCTGTTTCTTTTTCACTTAATCCTAGGAAAATATGGGTAAAAGAGCAGTTTAATATTTCTCTTGGAATCCCACTAAGCAGTTTTACTAATAATCCCTAATTATATAACACCTATTTTTACAGTTATGAAAAAAACTCCTAGGAAATGGTTTTCATTTTTTTTAATTACATTTATCGGGGAGATACTGGTTAATAAAATCACATACGTTTTAATAACACAACTCAGATACATCATCTGCATATTGCATTGTATGCTCACCGCACAAAGGCAAATCTTCTGTCCCCATATATTTGATCCCTTTTACCCTTTACTCCCCCCCTCACCTCCCTTTTCACTCTTAATAAATCAATACATAAACATATAGCATTTTTTGGAACACTCCACTTCTTGTGATGGTGGGAAAGGAACAATCATATATTCACTTGGTGTTTTTTTTCCCTTGGGGAACCTTACAGCCTTTCTTTACTCAATTATGGCTCACTGTAACTTGCCACTATTTTGATGCCACTCATATTTTACTCTCTTAAACAGAGTTCTCTCCTATCGGTGATGGAATCATTAATAATTCTCTGCCAGGAAGTGACGAAAAAGGACTATTAAATTGTTCCATGAAGTCAGCAAGAGATTTGAATGTTAACCAGAAACAATAACCAAATATCCAGGTATGTACTCTACAAAATATAGTATTCTTAGAAAGTAGCTGATAAAATCTATTGGATTTTTTTGTTTATGAGAGTATATTTCTATTGTACATTGTTTTTATCAATGAAACTAATGAAATGATCATTCTAGAAGTTTCATCACTAGAAATATGATATTGATATGAGTTATTAAAAAGTTATTTAGGTCTAACCTAGAACAAAAGAAGGAACTAATGAAAAAAATGCATTCCAAAATTTTTTATTTCATTACTTGTTTTGGAGCACTAAAATACATTTTTTAAGAAAATACAAACTCATTATGTCTAGTTTCTATACATCTTTGGATATGTATGATTATTATCAAATGAGTTTATACATTGAAGTGTACATATAAATACATAAGTTTTTAATTATTATTAAAAACTATTCCTGAATGGTGTGGCTCAGTTGCAAAAAAGTCTCTAGTTTGTTCCCAATCAGTGCACATGCCTGAGTTGGGGGTTCAGTCCCAGGTCAGAGCATGTACAAGAGGCAACCGATCAATGTTTCCCTCTAACATTGGTGTTTCTCTCCCTCTCCTTCTCTTTCCCTTCCCCCTCTCTAAAAATAAGTGAACACAATCTTTTAAAAAATAAGTAAAATAAAATTATATACATCACATATATGATATATAATACATATCATATATATGATATTTATAATCTTTGGTTTTATATAAAAATACTATATTCCAGGCTTTTTACTACATGTTTCAATGCAATGTATGTGCTATGAGAACATTTCACTGACTTTCTTTTGTGATGATGAACTCTGTTAGTTTTACCTTGTCTGGGAAGCACTTTATCTGCTCTGCAATTCTAAATGACAAGGTTGCTGGATAAAGTAATCTAGGTTTTACATCCTTGCTTTTCATCACTTTGCAAGTCCCTTTTCATCACTTCTTGCTAGTCCCTTCTAGCCTGCCAAGTATATTTTCTGAAGTCAGCCGAAAGTCTTATGGGAACTCCTTTGCAGTTAACTCTCTGCTTTTCTCTTGCTGCTTTTAAGAGTCTCTCTAAATAACTTTTGGTATTTTAATTATGATGTGTCTTGGTGTGGTCCTCTTTGGGTCCAACCTGTTTGGGACTCTCTGTGCTTCCTGGACTTGTAGGTCTATTTCTTTCACTAAATTAGAAAAGTTTTTTTTCATTACTTTTTCAAATGTTTTCAATTCCTTGCTCTTCCTCTTCTTCTGTAACTCCTATGTGCAGAAACTCCTATGGTTTAAAGCACAAGAAACCATAGGAGCACAAGAAACTCCTATTTTGCATCTCCTATGGTTCAGATGTTGTTATGTTTGGAGATGTCCCAGAGGTTCCTTATTCTATTCTCATTTTTAAAAAGTTATTTTTTCTTGCCGTTCTGTTTGAATGATCTTTCTTTCCTTATGTTCCAAATTTTTAATTTGAATTCCAGCTTCATTCCCCTCCATTGTTGTTTCCCCATGGATTTTTCTTTATTTCACTTAGTGTAACCTTCATTTCTGCCTGGGCCTCTTTTTATGTTGTTCAATTACCCAATGAGTTCCTTAAGCATTGTGATAACCAGTGTTTTGAACTTGTATCTGATAGGTTTATTATATTAATTTCACTTAGTTCTTTCCCTGGAGTTTTGATCTGTTCTTTCATTTGGTCCATATTTCTTTGTCTCCTCAATTTGGCAGCCTCCCTGTGTTTGTTTCTGTGTATTAGATAGAGCTGCTTTCACTCTCTGTCTTAGTAGCATGGCCTATTGTAGAAAGAGTAGCCTTCTGGATGAATGTGATTTATTTAAAATTTTGGTTGTCAGACTTCCATACAGCTCAGTTTTCTGATGAATCTGGGTGATGCTTGCTTTGTAGTTTAGTTGTAATTTTTGCTGTAGTTGCATGTGGAGGAGAAGTGTGTTTACCTACACCTCCATCTTGGCTGGAAATCTCTTAATAAGCCTGTAGCCAGCCCAGTGGTCTGGGTAGTGACCCCTCACACATGCTGTGTCACAGAATATTTACTCATACTTTTGTTCTTGTTATTTTTCCCATGAATATATATGTATATGCATGTGCATGTGTAAATAAACATATATATTTTTCTTTCTCAAGTCTCAGCCAGTGAATAAATGATTATTTGAAAGAAATTCTGACATGTTACTTATGACAGTGAAAAATGTCCTAAAGACCTTTCTTAATTGAATTTATTGGGGTGACATTGGTTTACAAAACCATACAGGTTTTAAGTGTACAACTCAATAAAATATCATCTGCACACTGCATCATGCATCTACTTCCCCAAGCAAATGATCTTTCCATCCCCATTTCCCCCTTTGCTCACCTCTACCTACATCTCACCCCCCATACCTCTGGCTATCACCACACTGTTGTCTGTTTTGATGTGTTATGTATATATTTTTTCTTAATCTCTTTATCTTCCTTCATCTAGTCTATTGACCCCCTCCCTTCTGTCAGCCATTTGTCTGTTCCATGTATTTATGCCTGAAAACAACCAATTTTGAAAGAATTTGGAAATCTATGTTGTATGAGCCAGCAAATAAATCTATGACATATGGCAATTCACTGATAAGGTGCTTAGAGAAAGTTAACACATATGTCAAAATTACATGTATAAGAATGTTTACTGCATGTATAAAATCTAATTCTACATAATACAGCAAATACACAAACATATTTTATCAAGCCTATATAATTCCATAATGGGCAACTATGTATCAGCTAAAATAACTAACTTTATATGTATCAACATAGAAAAATTACAGAAATATAATATTAACAAACAACTTTTTATTTTTTACTTCATAGGGATGTATGGTACTATAAATCTAGTGGGTAAAAGTTACCAAAGGAAGACAATATTTTAATGCATATAAACATATGCATATAAAAGCACAAGAAACCAATCAGACCACACTTAGAATTATTCTGAAAACAAAGGCCTTATGATTTTAGAATAGAGGTGACTGTCACCATTATACTTGATGAAAAAGGCCCTGAAGGAAAACACTGACAATATTTTTAAAAAATATGTACACACAATGAAAGCAATTTTGAGTTTAATTGCACCACATGCCATTATTTATTTTGGTGTTGACACATATTAAAATCAAGTATTCTTTTTATGAACAAAATAGAAACATGCTAAGTGAAAGGATATGAGCTATTCTATTCACCTTACTTTCTGTATGCAAGAGAGACATTTAAACTGCTTTTAAACAGACATTTCTATACACTAGCTTTCTGAGCTATTGCATAAATACTCTGGCCTAAAAGTAAAAGTGATTCTTTATCCCTACCTGGTGAATAAGAAAAAAATCTGCGTCAAGTCCATGGATTACCTGTGATTCAGAGCCCATGAAAAATTTTTGATCTGGAGAATCATCAGAGGGCAAAAAAATGTTTTAAGTATATTTTATTGATTGTGCTTTTACAGTTGTCCCATTTTTTTCTCCCCTTTGTTCACCACTGCCTGGTACCCCCATTTCAACAAGCAATCTTCCCCCTTAGTTCATGTCCATGGGTTGTACATGTAAGTTCTTTGCTTCTCTCTTTCCTGTACTATTCTTAGACTCCCCTGTCTATTTTGTACTTACCATTTATGCTTTTTATTCCCTGTGCCTTTCTCCCATTCTTCCATCCCCCACCCCACTGATAACCCTCCATGTGATCTCCATTCCTGTGATTCTGTTCCTGTTTTAGTTGTCTGCTTAGTTCATTTTTGTTTTTTTGTTGTTGTGTTTTGGTTCAGTTGTTGAAAGTTGTGAGTCTGTTGTCATTTTATCATTCATAGTTTTGATACTCCTTTTTTTGATAAGTCCTTTTAACATTTCATATAATAAGGTCTTGGTGATGATGAACTCCTTTAACTTGATCTTACCTGGGAAGCACTTTATCTGCCCTTCCATTCTAAATAATAATTTTTCTGAATAATCTTGGATGTAGGCCCTTGTCTTTATGACTTTGAATACTTCCTTCCAACTCCTTCTTGCCTGTAAGGTTTCTTTGGAGAAATCAGCTGTTAATCTTATAGAAATTACTCTGTAGGTAACTGTCTCGTTTTCTCTTGTCCCTTTTAAGATTATCTCATTATATTTAATCTTGGGTAATGTAATTATGATGTGCCTTGGTGTAACAGGAGAGCTTGTTGGAGAGACCCACAGGGTCCAGGAATGTACACAAACCCATTCACCTGGGAATCAGCACTGGAGGGGCCAAATCTGTTTGCAGGTATTAGAGGAAGTACTGAAAGATGCAAAGAGAGCCAAGCAAGCAGCACTGTTTCCTCTCAGACCACTCCCCTACATACAGAGCCACAAGGCAGTGACATGGGTTGCCTCTCCCTGGTGAATGAATACCTAAGGCTTTGCCCCTTACAACATAATGGATGCACCAAAACGAAACAAAAAAAAATATGGTCCTAATGAAAGAACAGATCAAAGATCCAAAAATAGAATTAAGTGACAAAGAGATAGCCAACATATAAGATGCAGAGTTCAAAACACTGGTAATCAGGATGCTCACAGAAATGGTTGAGTATGGTCACAAAAAAAGAGGGCAATATGTTTTTAAGAATAACAAGTGACAGTTACAGATATGATAGGTATTATTATAATTATATCATAACCACTTAATAATGCATTGTCTAAAGACAATAATAAAAAGACAAAGACTGTTAGAGTGCATAAAAATGAAGTCACAACTATATGCTGTCTACAGAATTTAAGTTCTAAATTTGCAGAAAGATGAAAAGTATAGAGAAGAATCTACTATAAACTAATCAAAAGAAACTGGAGTGACTTCTTGTTTCCAGTCCAACATGTAAAGAGCTTGGAAGTTGTCACTCTATACCAAAAACAAGCCAAAAACTGGGAAAAAAACTGGAGAAAAAAGTATTCTTAACTTCATCAGAGAATTGATGGATTAATAGAACAAATGACTACCTTCTAAATTAGATGAGCAGAACTAGAAAATCACAGCTCATCGGGGCAGAAAT